AAATTAGCATAATGTAACAAAACATTGAGAGAAAAAAGGTGGAAGCCCCTTCCCTGGGGCTGGAACTATGGTGGGGAAACCCTGCAGTCCCAAGGGAACACTCAGGGTAGCCCTGTAATGGGGAGAAACTTACCCACGGCAGATGCACCAGCCAGGGGCTGACCCTAGCTGAGCACACCACCTGCACGGTTCACCAGCTGCCTGTTTAAACGGCTGGAACCAGTGCGAGGTGATGATGTCACTGGGGAACACAAGCTGGCTCAGGTAAAAACTGGTGGCAGAAGAAACACTGGTGAGCAATAGCCAGGAGGCAGCTGGGTGCTCCTGTCGGTGTGACCAGAGCTACCTTCAGGGTGGGACCCAGGACAGGGTCCTGAAGAGGGGTCTGCTCCACAGCCAGAGCAGCGATCAGCACCCGGACTGGGATAAACTCTAAGGGATGGACTGCTGCAACTTTGTGGGATCTGCCCACTTCTGAATAGGAACAACAAGACATGACAAGCGAATACTCAGGCTCTCTCTGGGGAGGTGACATGCAATCAGCGAAGGTGCGTGAGGGAAATCAGAGGTGGGATAAGAACAACGAATCCTGAGCCACTCCAGAATGGCTGCACGAAACCCAGTGGGTACACCTAACAATTTAGAAAGGCATGACCGTGTTTTTTATTAATTTCCCAAATATTATGCCTTTTATATAATAATATGGTGTTTTAACAGATAGTGTATTTTATTTCAATGGAATGATATTTGTTTCCTGTTAACATTTTCTTGTGTCTGATTTTAAGGTATTTGGGGTCCAGTGCATCTCCCAAAAGTGGTATGGCCCTCATGGAAGTTGGCATGCTTAGTGGCTTCTCTGCATTACTGGATTTCATTTCATTACACGATCCAATTAAGAAGGTAGAAAAGGACAATGGAAAAGTCAGCCTATACTTAGATTCTGTAAGTTGGAAAAACAAGAAAATGCATTTGTAATGACACTTATTAAAATTAAATTCACAGTAGCTGTTCAGTACCTTTTATGCAAATTGTAATTACATCCTCTAAAGCAGTTGTAGGCAAAATACTGCCTGCAGGCCAGGTGTGGCCCACCAGGTAATTTAATCCTGCCTGTGAGCATCCACCAATTAATGATACCCTGCCCAGCCCACACACCTCACTCTCACCCTCATGCGCGAAAGGACCCTGGCCCAGCCACAACACAGTTTCTGTGCAGGGCTGCTCCTGCCACTGCTGCAGTTGCCAGGGGACCTGCTCAGCTGCCTTGACTTCCAGTGGCTTCCTCTCATCTCCCTGCTGTAGCGCTTGCAGGTGGGGAAGTGGCAGGGACTGGCAGGGGGCAGGGAGCATGGGGCTGGGGCTGATGGGAGCAAGCAGCCCATGCCCAGGGTGGTGGTGGTTGTGTGGAGCTCAGGTGGGTAGGGTGTGACTGTGTGGGGGTAGGGAACCCCCACACAGTCCCCTCATGTACTCCCTCCCCTCCCCACCCGTGGCGCACAGTGCCTGCTGCCAGTGGCAGCAGCAGCAGGTGGGGGGACCCTGGGATGGTTGTGGCCCGCTCAGGTGCTACTGCCCTGCAGCATGTGGCTCCAGCCAGAGCTGCATGTGGTGGCAAGGAGTGCAGCTAGGCTGGTCAGCCTTTATCATGCGGGGCTCCTTGCAGCGCATATGCAGCTCCCGGCACTTGCACACCACCGGGGGGAGGCCCCACATGCTGGAGCTGGCTGCCTTCCCTGCTCCCTGCGACCACATGCAGCTGCCAGGACTCCACTGGAAGTGACAGGGAACCCTGCCTCCTGCTTCCACGAGAGCAGGGAAGGCAGCCAGCCCCAGTGTGTGGGGCTTCCCCCCAGTGGCGTGCAAATACCAGGAGCTGCATATGCACCACAGGCAGCCCTATGCGATAGAGGCGACCCAGCCTGGCTACGTTCCTTGCTGCCACATGCAGCTCTGGCCAGAGTCACGCACTGCTGTGTGGCAGTACCTGTGTAGGTCATGAGCGCCCATCTGCTGCTGCTGCCGACAGTGGGGGCTGTGCGCCATGAGGGGGGAGTGTGTGGGGAGGTCCCTACACTCCCACACCCTCCCTCACCCCACAAACCCCACACACTCGCATCCTGCCTCCACAACCCCCTGCACATACATACACCCCACAACATACCCTTTGCCCCTCTACACACACACAGCCACACCCTCTCATAACCCCCGCCACACACACACCCACTCCCCAACGACATACTCCCCACACACAGTTTACAGGAGTAAGACTTTATTTCTCACCTATTATGCAATACAGTACACAAACACAACTTCTGATAAAAATATTTTTGTAATAAAATTAAAATATGTTATAGTTGGTGTTTGACTTTTAGTGTATAATTTGTTCTTTTTTCTGGTTCAAAGATGCCAACCCCCCTCACTCCCGGGTTTAGTGGGTGGGACTTCCCCAAGATGGTGACCGGGGGGGCAGGGCACCTGTCAAGGGGTGGGGCTACTCACGCGGCCCTCAGCAGCCCACCAAAATTCATTAGCCAGCCCCATAGCCAAAATAATTGCCCACCACTGCTCTAAGGAGTCTGTATTGACATTCAGTACTCACAAAATGTGATCATACTTTGTCAACCATTAGGTTGTTTGTATAAGTAAAGTCTATTGATGTTAATAAGCATTTGATGGATGAGCACTTCATAAATAGTTTGCCTATTTATGCATAATTTTAAGTGGTCTGTGATTTGTTAAAATCTCCATTAAGGAGACCAGGTTAACCACCTAAATCCAGACCCTGGTATTTCAGGTGTAACATTAGCAAATCATTTAGTTTCCATCCCAGCCCTTGGCCTCACTGTTTCTAGAATTCTCACAGCTTTCTCTTGTATTTTCCTAGCTAAATGAAACACAGGTTTGTGTGGAAATTCCTGCCGTGAGAGACTTCAAAGTAGCAAATACTCAAGGTGCCTCAGTGATTATAGTGGATTACTATGAACCAAGTAAGTGTCATTCATTCTTAATAAATCATGGTGATTCACATGCTCAAAAAAGGAATTACTGTATTTCTGAAAGTAAGCGACAAACATTTTTAATAAAGAAAAAGCCACATTACACTGAGAAGTCACTTGGTACTTTTTCAGTGGCACAGAAAGTTTATTGGATAGTAACTTGAAAACATCTGGAGAGTTATATAACGAAAATTGTCATTATCTCCTCTACATTATTTTTGTCTTAATAGGCTGGTTTCTCAGCAGTAAATTGTCATAACTTCATTGAAGCCAATATATACCAGCTGAGAACCTTGCCCAGAATGTTTCCAAAATCACCAAAATGAGGCATGAACTCTATTGTGGTTCCTATTTAATGATCAACTTTCAAGTAGCTGTTTCACCTGTTTCTTATTTAAATTAAGAGTCCTTTAGAGGAGTGTCAGTAGTATGTTTTCAACAGTTATGTAAAAAGATATATATTCAAAATATTTACAAAGCTCTTCTTAAGAAGGGAATGTGTTTCAGAGAAATTCCTTAGTATACAATGATGCATTTGACATGCGTGCTCTAAAATTTTCTGTCACCACAGTTGCTGACAGGTGTATGTGTATGTAAGTTGGGAATAGTGTGATCAAATCCTTCACTAACATGAATCATTGCTTCTATACCAGGGCTTTGAGGAGTCTGGGGAGTCCTTGTTCTATGGTTGTGTCAAAGAATGCTTTATTTATAGATGTCTAGGAAACTGAATTTCAGTTCAACAAGAAATTTCATGCTTTTGGAAAATATTTTATTCCAAGTTGGGATAAAAATCCAAAGCTTTAGAATTTTTTGATAATATGAAATGATTTAGTATATTTTATACAAATTTGCAGTAGAGTTTGTTTTGAAGATACCAGAATGTTTTTACATTGGGAATGCTTTGATGTTTCTGAACCAAAATCTAGTTCCTGAGTTCCCAGGCTGCCTGGCTGTGAGGCAGCTGGCCAGGTGAGCTCCTCAGGAAGTGAGAGCCTGGAAGCCTCAGATGCATTATGTGAACAGCTCTCCGGGGTTCCTAGATAGCTCAGCAGACAGGTTGTGTGGGGTGCAGGGAGATAGGATAAACAGACAAGCAGGAAGGAAACACGTTCCTACGGGATATGCCAATATCAACAAATTAGGCAAATTCAACCAAAAACAAGTGTGAGACTAGATCTAGTTTTATAATTATGAATTCAAATTCTTATAAGTGTTAGTTAGTATATTTCTATGCCGATAGAAAGAAAACACAAAAATGGGACAAAGATTAATTTTAGAATCTAAAATACATTTGTCTTTGTACTATTTGTCCTGGTTGGCATTTGATCTTAGGTGTATCCAGTCTAAGATACTTTCCCCGTGACATTAAATATGTTTAAGATCTTCCTCTTTTTGCCATATACATTTGTAAGGCGTGGGGGTTTTGTTGTTAAGCATTGGCCAGGTTCTGAGGATGGATTTATACAAAGAACATAGTTTTCTTTCTGAGGATTGGATTTGTCATATAGTAGTCATGTCATGTTTCAGAAGTTCAGTTCATCACACCTACTTGGTTTGAGAAAGAGATGTACAGCATATATCAAGCTTGTATGAAAATACAGACTAAATATTTGTTGGACAATTTTCATTAAGTTCATAAGCTAATGCTTATTAACTTTTCTGAACAGGAAGAAAAGCAGTGAGAAGCTATAATTCTGAAGTGATGCAGAAGTTGTCATCTTGTGTCTTCTGTGAAAGTGACTGTAATCTTTGTGAAAAAAAATCCAGTGATGGTGCTCAAGGATTGCTCCTGCACTCAGGGACTTTCCTTTTCTGCATATTGTTCGCAATCCATGTAAACTTGCTGTAAAGCTGGGTGGCGTAAGAGGATACTAGTTATATTGCACTTCTAAGGTTTGCATAAATTACCCAAAGAAAGTTTTATATTCCAAGGGACTAATCCTTTTTCCATTGATGTCAGTGACTAAACTCCTGCTGTGTGCAGCGAGAGCAGGATTGGACCCATACTTTAAGCTCCTGGCTGTGCCAGAAAATGTTCTTAATATTTCTATTGGAAAATATTAATGTGCCTTTTTAAATGTTAGTTTCATACTGAAGTTATTTTCTAAAGAAATGCAGAATAAGATTTATTGAGAAAACAGTTAAGGCTAAGTTTATATTTTCTAACTGTTCCTTCTTTCTTCTCAGCCTAGTTTTTTGATTTGCTTACTGTTATGGTTTTATGTTAAAAATAAAGAAAATGATGTTTATTTTATAGAGCTGTGCTGAAAAACCACCTACTCCTCAACTTCTCAATTAGGCTGTTAGCAAGCAAAAGTGTGGTGGATTATTTCTGCAAACAAAAGGCACTTAACATAACACTAATTTCCATTGTCTATGTTCATGAGTGAATAATAGGAGCAATAAGTGGACCTGGCTGCAAAGTGGTTTTGAGAGCTAAGGGGTAATGTGTACTCATAAGTAGCTAAGTAGTCCAGAAAACTTCTATATTTTTTATGATTACAAATTAAGTAACTTTTTGCCAACTGGATATGTTTAAAAATAAGCTGTTGAAAGGTTTAAGGACTTTTCCATACTTTTTACACTGCAAGGTGCTTTTGAATACTACACTTACTCCACATAGAAACAGATGCCTGAGTTGCAACAGAGTTTGTCAGTCCTGGGCCGGCATAGTTCGCCATCCTCGGACCCACAGATAAGCCAATCATAGAAGACAATCATCTTTTACTGTGCGGGATTCCTGAAGAAGATTATTTAATATTTGCTATTATGTCTCTCTCTTTTTTTAAAGCAACCAAAATGCTGAGATTTTCAGTTAAAAATATAGTGCAATTGTAGCTGTGACAACCTAACAGAGACGAATGTTAAGATTAAGTCTACCACATAGCCTTCATTCACATAGCTGTATATTTTGTGTTTTGAATGTGTGTAATTATTTGGTAGTCGGTGTGATTTTTTTTTTTTGGCATGTTGTAGATTTTCATCCAAGCTCTGCTCTTGCACTTAAACATATGGCTTATATGGTTATCTATACTTTTGGTTAAACAGGTAATTAATTCACAGCAACACTGTGTGAAGGGATACAAGGATTTCTGCCTTGGTTTTTGTTTAATACTGAGAGTTTTCCTTGTAGTCAAGATATAGTCTAGGGATTTTAAAGACTTGTTCTAAGGGTACATATATATAACAAATTTTTAGAATATTTTTTAACTTTGGGGTCTTATTCTCCTACTTTTACTCAGATAATCAGGGCTCCCAGCCAGTGGCGCACAGTGGAGCCCTTGACTCCAGCTGCACCCCAAAGGCTGGGAGCCTGGATCTGTCTCTGCTTGCAGCTGAGCAGGAGTATCAGAGCCAAGGTCTCTGATGCACCTCTGTAGCTGGGAGTGACAGCTGATCATGGCTTCATGTCAGTTCTCTTCAATTTAGTCAAAATTTCAGGAGCATAGAGCATGCATACTTTGGCTTCTTTTGTATATAAAGCCATCAAGAGGAAAATTGTCATGTGGTTACTATTATGACAAAGAGGTTTGTTTTCCGTTGTAAAATGTACTGGGGATGAACTTTTGCTTTCATACCACAGGTAGTGGAAACCCAGCCCCCCCCCCATATTTTTTGTTGCTGATGCTACCTTCCCAAATGCCCTCCAGAAATGAAGGATCAGATCATTCAGGCCAACTCTTTTTGCCGTGCATCTTTTATTAGTTCTCCCTTTCATTTGTTTTTCAGAAATGAACACATGTTTCTGAAGATTTCTTGGCTGTTAGCCACACTAAGAAGCATCAGTCATGATGCATCATGTCATGGAAAGTGTCACAGCCAGGATGTAGACAAGGATTTTTATGTACAACAGGACCCTAATTAAAAAAAAAAATCATATCTGTCTCTACACTAAACCAGATCGAAGTGAGAATGAACATGCATAACATAACTTGGTGCCTGGAATAGAATGTTCAAACCAAACTGCTTTGACAAGCCCACTTGGCTGCTATAAGTAACATAACCAAATAATTTTTAAATCGGTGAACGCCTTTCATTTCATATCAGGTTCACAGCATAGTTCTCTAAATGTTTAGATTTTCTAAAATATATTTGCCATGGCTGAATCTATGTTGAGGGAGTATAGTGGGCTGTTTTAATTCTCTTGTTGTACGTCAGAACCTGTATAAAATTGTTTAGTATAAATATTTTTCTGTTCATCCAGGAAATCTCTTTTCCTGGGATAGGAGTCCCATTAAAGTCAGTGGAGGAGATTAGATTGGGGTAGGCAACTCCTGGCATGTATGTGAGAGCATGTCGTGGAAAAGGATTTTGCTTGACAGTAGTCTTGGGGAAGGGGCCAGGGCTCTGCTACCACAACAAGGATCAGGTCCCTTCCGGCTCCTCCAGCACCTGCTCCTGGCATACCAACAACTTACAAGTTGAGGTTGCAGGTGGTTTTGGCACTCTGCCCAAAAATGTTGCTGACCCTTGGATAAAACGTACTTTTCAACTGGAATAGCATCAAGTCCCCAAAGAGCACTGTTGTAAATTTTTGTGAATTTATTGTAAGATTGAGTCATATTGTGTATTGTCTGGGGGAAATTATTCTGTTGTTGCTACTTATTTGAAACTTCAATACTTTTTCATGCTTCTACTACCCTCCTGAACAAACACATTGGTGCTCAGTCCACAATGTCACTATTATATAATCTAGCTGGAAAGAAATCTCCCTTTACTTAAAGTTAAAGCTAAAGCACAATGTATTTTAAAAATATTCAAATGCTGCTGTTTTTCATCCATTTAGTCACTGAAAATTGGATGTGTGTAGCCAAGGGCAGAATAAGTCCCCTTTTGTTCGAAACAGTCATACATATTCTGTATATAATATAGAAGTTTGTATGCATAAGATTTCATCATCGGGGGAATGTTTGTAATTAGCTGTGCATACTATACAATGTATATACATCTAGAGTTTGCAGGCAGGGCCAATTCAAGTTCTGCCAGAGTTCCCAGCTGGGTTCCCTGCTGCTGCAGGCTTTGAAGCCATGCATACACATAACACCACAAAGAGAAATTAGGTGAAAAGATAAAATTCCAAAAAGGGCCTAAAGTAACTTAGGAGCCTAAATCACAGAACCTTTCACTTGTGAAAATTGGATGTAGGCTCCTAATGTCATGTTAGGCAATTTTCAAAATTTTCCTCATAAAAGTGTTTTCCAAAACCGGTGAAATAAATGTGACTCCTTCCATTGACTTCTGTCAGATTTAATCAGGTCCAGATGCTCTGGAGCATGTGTATAAGCACATTTGTTATGGAGACTGCACTTTGAAACAGTCTATGACAAAGTTTGTTAAGAACGTGCAATATATATTTTTTAAGAAATCGCCAAGTAAAAGGAAAAATCATACCTCAGAGTTACAGATTATGTAAAAAGAGTACTGAGCTTGATGAGAACTGACACAAATTTCACTAAGCTAGGGGGTTCAAAAAACCCCTGGCAAAAAGTGCTTTAACTATCACACTTTACTCGAAGTGCTATAAGTTAGAGGACGTTCCAGTGGAACTCATATGCACTGTTTGATGGAGGGGGGGCTTGGTGCCTGCCTGCATTGGTCAAGGTCAGCAGGCAGGGGGCACTCTTGCAGGCCTCCCAGGCTGCTGCTGGAGTGGGTCCCACCCCCACTGCCAGCTAGGGAATGTAAGCAGTGGCTGGGGGTCAGAGGGGGTGGAAGGGAGCCCTGTAGCTTTACAGACCTGGCCTGCTCTGCCCCTGACCCCAGGCAGCAAGCTGCTGGGGAAAGGGGGCTTATGACAGGGGGTCTTCCTTCCTCCAGTTGTAGCCAGAAGTGACAGCACAAATTCCCTGATTTGCTTTTTGGCACTGGGAGAAGTGGAAAAGGAGCCTCCCCTGCTAGGCAGCCCTCCACCCCAGCTTCCTTGCTTGTGTCTTGGTGGGGACAGAGCTGAGCCCATGCCTCAGTGGGGCTCCTTTTCCATCCCCTCCACCCTCCAGAGTTCCCAGCACAGTAAAAAGTGGAACAGGGAACTTGTGTTGCTAGTGCTAACTTCAGCTGTGGGAAAGGACCCCCCTGCCATGGGGGGTGGCCCAGCTCAGCCCCCCCAAGACCCCACCCAGCAAGCTGAGGGGAGCTGCCCAGCAAGGGGGCTCCTTTTCAACCCCTGCCAACCAGAATTCCTGGTGCAGTGAAAATCAGTGTAGGGAACTCGCATCGCCATTGCTGGCTGCAGCTGGGGGGAGGGAGCCCTCTCTCCATGAGGACCCCCCACAGCTTACTAACTGGAGTCAGGGGGGTTGGGCCAGGTCCTCATGGTGGAGAGGGCTCCTTTCCTGCTCTTTACTCTTGCAGCTGCTGCTGACAAATGACAGCTGGTCAGGAGGCAGAGCTGAAGAGGGGTTGTTTTAGCAGCGGCTGCCAAGCGAGAGACCCTGGAGTCCTTCCCCCACAGTATCCCCCCTACCCTCCCAGCTGGGCTGTGGTGCGCCACTGGGCTGGGCAGCTGCAGGGACAGAAACCCCCAATTTTCTCCTCCACCCCCAGCCAGGCTGCATGTGGGCCTGGAATTAGAGGCCAACCCTGACTTAGCTGCTGCTGCTAATACACTGACTTAGGTCAGTGATAGCCTAGGGGGCAGGGCCAGCCCAGCTGCTTAGGCAGAGCAAATGAGTTCTGCCGGAGGCTACAGCAGCCCTGTGCAACACCACCTAGGATGGTAGTGATTGCTCGGTAAGTTAGCCCTCAGTGGGATCTGGCATGGACATTCGATAAAGTGCTCTAACAGAAAGCACTTTAGGTTAGTACACATCCATCCAGGGTTACCTTAGGGCAGGATCTGCCATTTTTATAGAGTTTTATGTGCCGTGAACACCTGTTCTGTTATGGCTGTAAAGCATTTCCTGTGTGTTTAAAGCACATTAAGTGTAAAATTTGTACCTAGTTTTAAAGACTAAATTCAGTAAGGCCACTGATGCCTGGATTGCTTCTGTTTTCTT